AAGCTTTGCATCATACCAGGTCACTCGCGAATAATCGGTAACGGAAGAGGGAAGGGTATTGTAAGAAGTTCGAAGAGAAGATGCGCTGAAGAATCCTATAAGGTAACGAAAAAGTTCGAAGGGAAGATGCGCTGGAGAATACTATAAGAAGCACGGATCCTAAGATGGAAGAGAATAAGGTTAAATTTAAGACATTGTTGGCCTGTAAGAAAACCATAACTGAATATACTTCCAGAGTTAAGCTTTGCATCATACCAGGTCACTCGCGAATAATCGGTAATGAAAGAGGGAAGGGTATTGTAAGAAGTTCGAAGGGAAGATGCGTTGAAGAATCCTATAAGAAGCACAGATCCTAAGAGGTAACTGTAACGAGAAGAGAACGAGTAGCATCCAAAGAGAACGAATAGCATCCAAAGAGTTTAGTATGAGGGAACGTATTCTAAGTGAAAACATGGACTTCAAGCACAATTTTACAAAATTGAACGAGTAGAATCAGACGAAAGTAGTGCAGAAAGGACATTGGAACTCTAAACACTTTCTTTCTCATAGATTTAAATATCTCGCACATGAAATTTTTTTGTGAAATTTTATAATTTACGACGAGAAAACTATGTTTTTGAACACTGGATAACAATATCATCAAAAATCACTATTTAAGGGGTTTCCCACCAACATTTCAAAGTAAAAGAGCGATAGCATTGTTGGCCTGTAAGAAAGCCATAACTGAATGTACTACCAGAGTTAAGCTTTGCATCATACCAGGTCACTCGCGAATAATCGGTAACGGAAGAGGGAAGGGTATTGTAAGAAGTTCGAAGGGAAGATGCGCTGAAGAATCCTATAATGTAACGAAAAAGTTCGAAGGGAAGATGCGCTGGAGAATACTATAAGAAGCACGGATTCTAAGATCTGAGTTGAGGTTAGTATGAGGGAACGTATTCTAAGTGGAAACATGGACTTCAAGCACAATTTTACAAAATTGAACGAGTAGAATCAGACGAAAGTAGTGCAGAAAGGACAGTGGAACTCTAAAACACTTTCTTTCTCATAGATTTAAATATCTCGCACATGAAATTTTTAAGAAAGTTTAAGAAGTAAACCGCAGCAGAGATTCTTCATAGGAGTGTTGGGGTGAAATTAGAATGTTCAGATAACGTGCAGATTAATGACAATATCGTTTACAAACTACAAAGTTATTCAAATCCGAATTTGAAGAGGCACATTTTTATGAAAATACACTAATCACCTGACGTGAGATGAATCTCAGAAGGGGAAGGAGACTGCAAAATACAGATTCACACAAGTCTAAAAGATTTAGGGCTTGAAATGTTTGTGTGTGTGGGGGGGGGGGGGGTTGGGTTAAGGTACTTTACGATATTCCTGACAAATTCAATTCAAATTTCAGAGTGAAATTTAAGCGTTTTAAGAGCTTCTAAAAGATTGACAAAGTAACTTGGACATTTTTGTAGATTTTCGACATTTCCCTAAAAGATGATTAATATCCTCTTTATTGAGTCCAGGACAAATCTGTTGTACGAAGAGCTTTTATAAAACATCGTTTGTAAAATGAAGATTTCGAATTAGAACGTATAATTAAACGACAGTAATTCTAAGGGTACCTGAAGGATCGCAGGGTCAAAATAAGCCTGTATATGTTTATATTATAGATTAGGAAGCTGAAGTTTGAAAGCAAGAACTACCATATCCGGAGAAACCTTGTAAGTTATAGTTAATGATTTGTTATGAAATATGTTGAAAGTATGATCTGAACTCTAAGCTATCAATACATATAGTAATCTGAGACAATTGTGGAACATGGTAGTAGCTAAAGTGCTTTAGAAGTAATACCCTTATAGAGGTGATAATCAATACTAACTAGGAAAATTTTGGGAACTTAATGTTTTAAATCTAAATTATCTTTCTAACTATAAAGAGGTATTAAGGGGACAAGTTCAATATTGCTATTGTTATATAATATATCTTACATATTTTATAACTACATGGCAAAAAGTACTTGCACTATTTATTTCCCTTATGTAGCTTACATTGTTAATCTTTTAAGAATAAGTACTAAATAAAGAGAGAATTTCTTATAAAAAAATATACAAAAGTTCATTGACTTACAAAGAAAAGTTTGTTTGTGTTATGACTAATCTTTTAAGAAAATTGGGTTAAATGCGAGTAATTTAAAATATAAATTGAACTTTAAATGAACTTTACAGTAATTAAAGTTTTGAGTTTAGTTGAAGTTCCACTACAGTGGATTGAATAGCTATAAAAAAGAATTTCTAGGGCCTTATAATAATTTATCAAAGGATTAGCTAATAATATTTCTCTCAGCTTTTCCCTTATATTAAACACATAATTAACATTTTCTTAAACAATCTACTTAACAAACTGAATATTTAATTTGAAAACTAGTTTTGAACACCGTTTTTTTTTTCTCAAAATCAAAACAAAGATTTACCATTTTCAATACATTATATCAATCTTTTACATTTCAAAACAATTGGCTTCTAAAAGTTGAAGTGCAATCAAAAAAAACTAGTTTTTCTTGGAGAACTATTTAAAAAATTAACATTTTAGTTAGTTTTTAAAAGGGGAAATAAACTGAAATTAAAATTATAAGAAAAAGCAAGTTTTGAATAAAACATTTCACAGACAAACAGTTCAAAAGTAATTATTTAAAAAAAAACAACGATATTCCATTCAAAAACAAATGGAGACGTTTTACAGCACGTTTGTAATAAATTTAAATAAATTAAACTATTTATAAATAAGTAAATTTAATTTACCTTCCAGTTTTTTGCTGTTGACAGGTAGTATTTCAGATATAATTAATATTTTGATCCTAAGTTTCAAATAAGCCGAGACCCCTCCAAGTAATAAATGAAATTGTCTATAATTTTTCACGAAAAAACTGTCTGAATTAAACTAAAAACTAGTCTAAAAACTAATTTAAAGTAATTCCTAATATTAAAATGACAAGTTATTTATCAAAGCTGTCAAAATATTGAATAATATGTCACATTTTTTTTATTTACAAATATTTCATAACCACAGCTTAACATCTGTTTTATTCTGCTTTAAAAGAACCTCTCAAATATGTACAAAAATCTTCCTTTTATTTAAAAACATTTTAAGGTCCCCTCATCAATATACATACTCCCTATTTACCCCGTTTTATCATGTTTAAAACATATTCTTTGTTATTGTTTTGTATGCTAATTTTTGTGTTATTATGCTTTAACATTCATTTTCTAAATATGCAAAATTGTTTCAAAACAAACTAAATAATTATATTGAAAATAAATTATACACACATATACACAAAACAAAAATTGACAATAAAACGCGATCAGAATTATTATCATTGATATCATGTCCAAAAAAAATAGAAAAAATTATAAATAATTAAGTTTATAAATTAATTGTATTTTAGAGATATACTATAACAAATACAATTTTTTATAAATATATATAAAAAAGTTTGACTACATGAGTGGGAGTCGAATCTTATGAATAAGGCGGTATTTAAATGGGAAGATATAAATAGATTTTAAACTATTAATTGTGAATTTTAATTAAATTTTATTAAAACTTAATTATAATTATCGGTATATTTAATTAAAAAATTCTTTAGTACTTTTGATCTTCCAGCTTTCTCAAAATTTTCACAGATAATGGAAATCAGAATAGACTATAGACTAGATTATGAAGAAGAATATGGATTAGGCTATAGACTAGACTATAGACTAGACTATAAAATAGACCATAGAATAGACTATAGACAAGACTATAGACTATGCTGTAGATTAGTCATAGACTAGACTGTAGACTAGACTATAGACTAGACTGTAGACTAGACTATAGACTAGACTGTAGACCAGACTATAGACTACACTATAGGCTAGACTATATAATAGACTATAAACTAACTTTTGTATATCGTATAGACTAAACTTTAGTCTATTCTATAGACTAACTTTAGTCTATTCTATAGACTAAACTTTAGTCTATTCTATAGACTAAACTTTAGTCTATTCTATAGACTAAACTTTAGTCTATTCTATAGACTAAACTTTAGTCTATTCTATAGACTAAACTTTAGTCTATTCTATAGACTAAACTTTAGTCTATTCTATAGACTAAACTTTAGTCTATTCTATAGACTAAACTTTAGTCGATTCTATAGACTAAACTTTAGTCTATTCTATAGACTAAACTTTGGTCTATTCTATAGACTAAGCTTTAGTCTATTCTATAGACTAAACTTTGGTCTATTCTATAGACTAAGCTTTAGTCTATTCTATAGACTAAACTTTAGTCTATTCTATAGACTAAACTTTAGTCTATTCTATAGACTAAACTTTAGTCTATTCTATAGACTAAACTTTAGTCTATTCTATAGACTAAACTTTAGTCTATTCTATAGACTAAACTTTAGTCTATTCTATAGACTAAACTTTAGTCTATTCTATAGACTAAACTTTAGTCTATTCTATAGACTAAACTTTAGTCTATTCTATAGACTAAACTTTAGTCTATTCTATAGACTAAACTTTAGTCTATTCTATAGACTAAACATTAGTTTATTCTATAGACTAAACTTTAGTCTATTCTATAGACTAAACTTTAGTTTATTCTATAGACTAACTTTAGTCTATTCTATAGACTAAACTTTAGTCTATTCTATAGACTAAACTTTAGTCTATTCTATAGACTAAACTTTAGTCTATTCTACAGACTAAACTTTAGTCTATTCTATAGACTAATCTTTAGTCTATTCTATAGACTAAACTCCAGTCTATTCTATAGACTAAGCTTAAGTATAGTTTATAGATTAAACTTAAGTCTATTCTATAAATTGAATTTGCAGAATTGTATTACAAAAATAAAAATTACATTCCATGTTATAAAGTTAATTTTTAAAGTTAATTTTTAAAGTTAGTTTTCTATTTATCTAAATAATAAGAAATCTAAATAAATTGTCTATTTACCTTGCGATGACGTCCTTTATAAACTACAGCAAAGGCGCCATGGCCCAACATATCCTTGGAACTGTATTCATAATCACCAACAATATTCATTGTTGCATATGGAAATTAAAATGGACAAGTGAACGAGGATAACTAACAGATGTTGTTGCACTGTTTTATATTTTTTAATTGTTGTTTTTATAGAATTGAGTAATTAACCGTTATAATAGATTTTGTTTGTTTGTTTTTATTGCAAGCAAAAAGAAAAATTTTGTTTTAAGGAAAATGTCATTTATTACTTTTTTAATTTCTAAAAAATAGCAAAAAACACCGAAATAAATACACAAAGTGTAGTTGAACAAGAAAAAAACAGTTTGGTGACTTGTCGTCTGTGTAATTTTATGGGATAAAAATTGGAATTTTATGACGTTTGGTTTTTCTTTTTCTCTTACGCGACACGACTTATTACAAACACACACTTTTAAACAAACAACAAAATAAAAATGTGATATTTTATTTTTTTGCTTTTAATTTTTCACTCTGCACTTGAAGTGCATTTAATACGTATATTTTTTATACTTTTTGTTTTTCTTTTATGCTTCGTACTTTTTGGGGAAAATCAATTTTCAAGGGTTTTCACTGTGTGCACTTTTTTTTCTCTTTTTTTTGTACTCTTTTTCTATTACTTCTTGTTAAAAACTTTAAACATAAATTTTTTTGTTTATTTTTTTGAGATTTTTTAGTTATTTGAACTTTTTTTCTTTTAAAATTTAGTTGAATAGGTATTAAAAATAAATAATTTTCTTGCTTTTATTCATCTACGTAATTAATATAATTTTTTCTTCTATCGATTCTTTTTGTACGTATTTTCTATTGTTGTTAGTTTGCAATTGGTTTTTTTATCATTGAACGTCTGTTTCTCTTCTTTCTTTTGAAGTAAAACTTAAATTTCACAATTTTGTCGTAAACAAAATTCTTTGTTTTTTTAAATTTAAATAAACAACAATTTTCTTTTCTATTGGAAGTTAGATTAACTTCTATTTTCAGGGTGTTTTTTCCAAATTTTCGATATTTTATTTTAACTTTTCACTTCCGAAGAAGACGAAGAAATAATCAAGGCAAATTTGTGAATAACAGCAAATACCCCAAATCAAAGAACTGCGTCGACAAGCATTAATGACGGCGTCTTAAAGTAAACATTTTGGCGGCAGTTTAAATTCCATGATGAGCCGCCTAAGTTTCCTTTAAATTTTTTCAAAGATATCGAATAAATTTGCAATGCGAGTGTTAAAAAAATATAAAATAATCTTCACAATAGCATATTTCAATAATATGGTTAAGGGATGGCTATAGACCGCATTCGGAACGTTTAAACAATTTTTCCTTATATAGATTTTTATGCAATGTATTTGATTTTATGATTCTAGTCTCAATATTGCAGAAAATCTAAATAGTATCAGTAGAAGAACAAAAAGTACTAGAAATATCCTTTTATAGATTATCATTTATTCAGGACTCAGCATATTTATTTTCGTCGTTTAAGGTTCAATATATGGGAAAACTTAAAAAGTACCACTTAAAGAATGAAAAAGTACCATAAGGTCCGTATTTATAGATTCTCATTTATTCTGCATTTTGCATGTTTAATTTCATAGTTCAAGGTGCAATATTTTTAGAAAATTAAAAAAGGTGCCAGTTGAAAAAGCAAAAGGTACCAAAAATTCCTTCCACTTTCCTGATAATTTTCTTATAATTTTACCACTTTTTCAACACTGTTATTGCAGGTTTTCTTCCTTCCTTGTAATTCAAACACTTTACAACTCTATTTATACAAAGTGTTAATGAACCACTTAACAACACTGTTTATATTAAGCACATGTTTACGAAAAACGAAAACAAAACAAAAAACCAATAACGTTAAATGAATGAAGTTGAATTTTATAGTAAATATCAAAAAGTAACTTTAATTTCGCTAAAAAAGAAATAATTTTAATAATAAAAACAAATGTTTGCTTTAGCCGAACTCAAAGATACCATACGCATAGCACCGGAACAGTTTAATTTGAAACTGATAGAAGCCATAAGAGATGAAATAAATCGCAAATTGGCCAATAAGGTGGAAAACTAATTGTGTTTTATATAGAAATCAAAAAAATGATTAATGAAATTTTCATTTCTAACAGGTGCTTTTAAATGTGGGTCTTTGTATTGCTCTGAAAGATATCGTATCTTTAAAAGATTCCATTATTTTACCCGGAGATGGAGCCTCTCACACTGAAGTCATATTTCGTTATATAGTTTTTAGACCCTCGATTGGTAATGTTATAACCGGCAAAATACGCAGTTGCAGTCATGAAGGTGTTCACGTTACTTTGGGCTTTTTCGATGATATTCTCATACCTCCTACCGCCCTACAGCATCCCTCACGTTTCGATGAAACTGAACAGGCTTGGGTTTGGGAATATCCTTTGGAGGATGGTGGCAAACATGATTTATTTATGGATATAGGAGAACCTATTAAGTTTCGTGTATCACGGGAAATATTTGAAGAAAGTTCACCCATAGGTCCGCCGAAAAATGATAAACCTGGGGCGTCGGCAGCTAGCACATCAGCGGCGGCAGCAGCAGCTGGGCAAAATTCGGAATCCAAAACCCCTTATCGTATAATTGTGAGTAATTTGGGTGGAATTAAAAGAAAAGTATATTTTTATTTCGTTTTTTATTACAGGCCGCTATTAATGAGTCCGGTTTGGGTGTTTTATCTTGGTGGGATCAACAGCAGCAAGAGGATGATGACGCGGGGGCTGAGGAGGAAGAAGAGGATAATAATGACTATGAAAATGACGAAAATGGCGAGGGAGCTTATGAAGAGTGATGGACAATGTTTGTAAATAAAATTAAAGAAAAAACAAATGTTTTGGAGTTTTTATTAAAAAATGAGAATTTTTTAAATTTCGTTCAAAAGGCTTAACAAATCCTGTAATATTTGTTAGATTAATATAAATCTTTTTCGAAAGGATGAAGCGGATGACCCTTACAACTGCAATAAAGTAAATAAAAGATAAATTCGGAACTTCTTTGCAAGTTTTGTTAAGCAGATTTAAAGGTTATTAACATTTGTTCCATTACATTTGGTAGTCAAACCTTTAAATCTGCGTCATACCAGACCTAAAATAACGCCAACTTACTCTTCAAATGCATACACCCTAGTACCCGTATCCAATTCATCTATATCCGCCATAGCCTGCGAACCCAACTTAAAGCCCACACTTAAAATATTCTCCCTCATAAATAACCGCTTCACCGCCGTGGCTATGACAATATTTCCCCTCTGAATTTGATATCTGATCAAAACCTGAGCCGGTGTATGTTTTGTTTTCTTTGCTATTTCCAAAATCTTCTCATTATGCGTTAGGGGAATCTTATTATGCAAACGATAAATATTCGAAGGACTACCTAGACAATGCTGTGCTACCACCACAATATCATTGGCCGCACAAAAATCCATTAATATTTGTTGATTTAAATACGGATGACATTCGACATGCAGAACTGCCGGTTTAATATGAGCTTTTTCGAGTAAAACATTTAGCTGTCGTATATTGAAATTGGCCAATCCTAAAGTCTTGACCAAACCATTTTGAACTAATTTTTCCATGGCACGCCAGGTTTGTAAGAAATCTACTTCGGAGTATATTAGCTTATCATTTTCATCTTTAGGTTGGTAAATATCACCCTCCCGAAAGGCCATGGGCGAATGCATTATATAGCAGTCTAAATAGCTAAGTCCCAATTTCTTTAAAGAGGCCTCACAAGCTTTTCGCACCAGCTGGGGAGCGTGATGATTATTCCACAACTTGCTGGTGACAAAAATTTCTTCTCTTTGGAGGAATGGATAGGTTTTCAATTATTTTCAACTGTTCGTGTTATGAAAGAAGTATTAATTTCTAACCTTGTTATTAAACCCTTCTTAATGTATTCCCTGATAGCTTCCCCAACTTCCTTTTCATTACCATCAACTTCTGCACAATCTATATGACGATAACCCAACTTAAGGGCATCTCCCACCAGTTCCTTGCATTTGGCTTGTAGCTGAAATAACAGTAAAATCCAGTCAATTACTTTTCTGAAAGAAAGTCTTATAGATACTCTTTTCTCTTAAGTTGACACTTCCTTTAGGTTTTTTATAGAAGACTTTTTTCAAAACTTACTTTACTTGTTCCCAGACCTATTACTGGTATTTCCTTATCATTATTCAGTTTAATTTTTGGTACTTCTGGTGCTGTATAAGATTTCTCCTCCACCTCTTCCAAAGATTTTCTTTCTTTTTGTGGGGATTCACTAGGATTTTTGGAATTTGAAGCCATTTAAACTAAAACTAACATTGATTTTGTTTCAAAATAGAAAATTTGGAAGAAAATTAATGGAACGCAAAATTTTAAAATAAAAAGTCAAAAGTTTTTCAAAGGGTTTTCAAATTTTTTAAAAGAATAACAATATTTCAAATATATCGTTTAGGAAGTATTCCCTTTACAGTCCTTAACAATATAATAAAGGCCCTTAAGGTAATCGATGTTTAAAATCTTAATTATAAGAAGTTCTTTCTAATATTCTTCTTTCCAAACTTTTGAAATCGATAATTAAACTAAATTGTCCATTTAATTTTTATAAAATAAAAAACAGGTACAAGTAATATTTATTAATAATTTACATAATTTTAAAGTATATTTTCATCTGCAAATGGATGATGAGGATGACCTTGAGCACTAAAAAGAAATGAAGAAAATTCCTAAAAATTATAAATTTTCCAACACTTTTCCAACAACTACTTACTCTGCCATTATCATAAAACGTCCACCAAAATCTAAACCATTCAATAAATCCATATCCTCTGGACTTAACTTAAAATCCAATATATTGAAGTTTTCTAGCATGTGATCCTTACTAGCTGATCTGGGCAAAACAACATTACCACGTTCCAATTGATAACGCAACAGCAATTGGGCAGGTGATTTTTGATATTTCTCAGCTAACGATAGAACTTTAGGATTTTGTAATATAGGATATTCTCCCGGCTTGGCATAAGGTGAAGAGGGTGACCCCAAAGAACTATAAGCCGTTACCACTATATCGTGGGATTTACAAAAATCCATTAATTTTTGTTGATTCAAATAAGGATGACATTCTATTTGTAAATTTGCCGGAGGTATACGTGCCACTTTTAGGACACGTTCTATTTGAGATATATTGAAATTTGATAGACCTATATTAAGGCAAAGACCTGAATCAACCAAATCCTCCATAGCCCGCCAAGTATCCACATAATCAACATTGGAAAATATAACTTTATTATTTTCATCTTTAGGATAAAGTTCCTCGCCATCTTTGTAGGCCATGGGCCAATGTATTAGATAATTATCCAGGTAGTTTAGATTTAGATTCTTTAATGTAGTTTCACAAGCCCGGCGCACCATTGTCGGATGATGGAATGTATTCCAAAGTTTACTGGTGACAAAGAAATCGTCTCTGAAAAAAAGTATTTGTAGATTAATCTAAGAAAGTTTTTTTTTTCGAGAAGACAACTTTCTTATGGAAAAATATACTTTTTTTATAGAAAATTTACTTTTTAAGAAAGTTTTCTTATGGAAAATATTTCAGTTCTAGTTTAGTTCTAATTTAAAAAGTCTTCTTTATAAAGATTTCTTTTACCCAATTACCTCTTAACTTTACCGTTTTCAAGAAGTTTCTTAAATGCTTCACCCACCTCACTTTCATTGCGATAAATATGGGCGCAATCAAAATGACGATAACCCACATCAAAGGCATCACGCACCACCTCGGAAGCTTTACGTTGCAACTGCAAAAAGAGCAATAACATATTACTGAATTACAAAAGCTTTTTAAAGAAATAACAACAAATTGTTGTAAAAATGTTGGTTTTAAGGACTTTTTTATACTCTGCATCAAGTTTATAACTAAATAAGAAAGGGAAGATAAGAGAACTGATACAGAACTAGTTCTGTAACTGTCTCTTGGGGAATAGTAAAGTAACTTGTCAATTGAACTAGATGATAAATATTTTTAATAAATATAAATACCTTAATATTCATATAAATCGAATATTTAAAAATTCTGTATATTTTTTGCAATCAATCCCATTGTGCAGCAATATTTAGAAAGACTAACTTATTTCTAAGCGATTCTCTGTAGGGTTCTATAGTTGAAACGAAAAGTCGACTTTTCGACTTTTTGCATTTAGTTAAAAGTCGACTTTTCGACCTTTCGACTTTTTCCATTTTATGAAAAGTCGATTTTTCGACTTTTCGACCTTTTTCATTTATTTAAAAGTCGACTTTTAGACTTTTCGACTTTTAGTATTTTATAAATGGTCGACTTTTCGACTTTTTCCGACTTTTTTCGACTTTTTCCGACTTTTTTCGACTTTTCGACTTTTTTCGACTTTTCGACCTTTTTCGACTTTTTCCGACTTTTTTCAACTTCTCGACTTTTTCCGACTTTTCGATTTCTTACGACTTTTTGACTATTTTCGACTTATTTCGACTTTTTTCGACTATTTTTTACTTTTTTCGAGTTTTTCCGACTATTTTAGAGTTTTTGACCTCTTTTCCACTTTTTTAAAATATTCGACTATTTTCGACTTTTTGACTTTTTTCGACTTTTCGACTTTTTCCGACTTTTCGACTTTTTTCGACTTTTTTCGACTTTTCGACTTTTTTCGACTTTCTTCGACTTTTTTCGACTTATCGACTTTTTTCGACTTTTCGACTTTTATTTACAAAGTCGACTTTTCGATTTTTTTCATAGACGATAGTCGAGTTATCGACTTTTTTAGAACAAAATAGTCGACTTCGACTTTTCGACTTTTTTCGACAAAAAGTCGATTGTTCGATTATTCGAAAGTCGATTTATAGAACCCTAATTCTCTGTATATGGAATAGTTTTATTAAAAAATTATTTGTAAATTCAACACAATTTTTCAAAACTTTTGTTATTGTGCCGCTGTCAATGTCACATTTTCAATATTTCACATAATTTTTAATAAAACATACCGGCTACTTGTTGTCAAATACAAAACATTATTAAAAATACCTCCTATATACCCTACAAATATCGATGACCTTGTCATGTTCATGTAGTTTTGATGGTCAAGTGCGAAATACATCATAAATATGTTATATGGAATACTTACCCTCCATGTTCCTAGACCAATCATAGGCATTTTACGACCATTTTTAAGTGTAACAAAAGGCATTGGATTTAAATTTGTTTTAATTGTTGCATCTGAACTCATATTAAATAATAATTTTTTGTAAATTTGTTTAGCACTTGAATAAATTGTTTTTGGTTTTTCCTCTAATAACTGATGGGGATGCACTGATGTTTAATTGCTTTTTTAAAAAGTACTATATGCAATATGAGGTCTAGGTAGCTTTCGCCAATAAAGCTTTTTTAAGCTTTCTTTTGCAAATGTGAAAGTAAAAAGCAATTGTTTTTGAAGAAAATTATATTATTTTTAAATCAAAAGCAATTCTTTTAATAAAAAATACAATTATTTTTATTGTTTATTATAAATATTCAATATTTAACTTCTTATTTTTCTTATTTTCTGTCACAAACAATAGTTTTCTTTCAATTTCATTTAAATGACAATTCCTTTTTTTGTTATTAAAATACAATTTTCTTAATAAAAATGTTGAAATCTTTATTTAAAAATCGTTTTCCAAATAATATTGGGAAAATTTTACAACTAACGTAAGTTAATTTACGGAAAAGATAGTTTATTTCAAAATTAATTTTGAAAATTTTAGCAAACGTCATCATTGCGAATTGCCGGCAATTATTATGAATAATGGCAATGAAATGCCCATAATTGGTTTTGGAACATGGAGTGTAAGTTGATTTAAAGGATTCTTCTTAAAAATAAATTCTAAAGAAAAGTGTGTTTTCAATTCTTCAAGTTCAGTTCTAATTTTCAGTTCTAGTTCAGTTCTAGTTCAGTTCTAGATCAGTTCTAGATCAGTTCTAGTTCAGTTCTAGTCCAGTTCTAGTTCAGTTCTAGTTCAGTTCTAGTTCAGTTCTAGTTCAGTTCTAGTTCAGTTCTAGTTCAGTTCTAGTTCAGTTCTAGTTCAGTTCCAGTTCAGTTCTAGTTCAGTTCTAGTTCAGTTCTAGTTCAGTTCTAGTTCAGTTCTTGTTCAGTTCTAGTTCAGTTCTAGTTCAGTTCTAGTTCAGTTCTAGTTCAGTTCTAGTTCAGTTCTAGTTCAGTTCTAGTTCAGTTCTAGTTCAGTTCTAGTTCAGTTCTAGTTCAGTTCTAGTTCAGTTCTAGTTCAGTTCTAGTTCAGTTCTAGTTCAGTTCTAGTTCAGTTCTAGTTCAGTTCTAGTTCAGTTCTAGTTCAGTTCTAGTTCAGTTCTAGTTCAGTTCTAGTTCAGTTCTAGTTCAGTTCTAGTTCAGTTCTAGTTCAGTTCTAGTTCAGTTCTAGTTCAGTTCTAGTTCAGTTCTAGTTCAGTTCTAGTTCAGTTCTAGTTCAGTTCTAGTTCAGTTCTAGTTCAGTTCTAGTTCAGTCTAGGTCAGTTCTAGTTCAGTTCTAGTTCAGTTCTAGTTCAGTTCTAGTTCAGTTCTAGTTCAGTTTTAGTTCAATTATAGTTCAGTTGTAGTTCAGTTCTAGTTCAGTTCTAGTTCAATTATAGTTCAGTTGTAGTTCAGTTCTAGTTTAGTTATAAAAAACGCACCTTATTAAGATCAATTTTTATATTAATTCTCTAGAGCTCCAATGATTTCGCAGTTTTAGAGAAAGTAGAGCAGCAAGGTCAAAAGGTAACAATTTATTTTAGTTAAAATTAAACAAATAATATGAATATTTTAATTAGAAACCCCAAGAAAATTGCAATAACAACGAGGAGTCCGAAAAAGTATCTAAAGCAGTGGGTATAGCTATAGATGCCGGCTACCGCCATATAGACTGTGCCCATTTGTATAAAAATGAAAAGGATATAGGGCAAGTTTTAAAAAGGAAAATTGAAGGCGGTGTGGTAAAAAGGTTAATTTTCAGAATAATAAATGTTATATTATAACATATAACTTAGTTTTGATTTTCAGAGAAAATTTATTTATAACCAGCAAATTATGGAATACTTACCATGATCCCGACACTGTCTGCTCTGCTTGCCAACAAACGTTGGAAGATTTAGGTCTCGAATATTTGGATATGTATTTAATGCATACTCCTATGGGGTTTCAAACAGGTGAAGAACATTTTCCCATGTGTGAGGGTGAGTTATTATATAGTGATGATGATTTTCTGGATACTTGGCAAGCTATGGAGGATTTGGTGGAAAGTAAATTATGTAAAAATATTGGTATATCCAATTTCAATAAGAAACAAATCAAAAGATTACTTAAGAATTGTAATATAAAACCACAAACTTTACAAATCGAAATACATCCTTATCTGACACAAAAGGAATTAGTTAATTATGCTAAATGTCAAGATATTTGCATTACTGCTTATGCTCCGGTGGGCTCACCTAAAAGACCTTGGGCTAAAAAACAGAAAAATGAAAGGATACTTTTAAAGGATTATAAGGTTTAGTTTTTTTTTAACAAATAATACGGAAATGTTTTTATATGGATTTTGTTTTCAGATTTTACAATTATCGGAAAAACATAAACGTACTGCGGCCCAAATTTTATTGCGCTATCAAATTCAATGCGGTCATGCTGTTATACCCAAGTCTACGGATAAAAAACATATTACGGAAAATATAGATATATTCGATTTTGAATTGTGTCCCGAAGATGTTTTAAATATCGAAAGTTTAAATCATAATTTGCGTTATTTTCCATTTTCAGGGTATGTATGAAAAAGTTTAATAAGAGAAGAATAACATTCCGAGAATGTTATATTTATTTTCATCTACAGAGCTTCTGGACATCCTTATCATCCATTTGAGCAATCCGATGAGCCCAATAAGTGTTGAGCAAAACATTTTTTTTATTTACAATCTGAAATTTTAATTTTTACATTTCTTATTAATAAAACGTTGTTTTAATAAATGCAGATTCAATTCCCTAAGAAATTGTCTTTTTAAGATATTTTTCTTTAGAAATATTTCTTCTTAATGGAGTTTTCTCCATAAAATTTTATTTTTTTTAAAGTTTATTTCTTCATATGTCTGTTATCTGTAAAAAGTTTGTTTGAACCTGTTTTATATAGTAAATTTCTTTTTAAATCGGTTTTCTATATAGAAGTTTCTTTTTAAGACAGTTATTTAGAAAAGTTTTGTCTATAGGCAGTTTTCTATAGAAAAGTTTCTTCGTAAGAAATTTTTCTTTATAAGGGTTTCTTTTTTACACAATTTTCTATAGAAAAAATTCTTCTAAAATAGTTTTCTTTAGAGACTTATCTTAAAACAGTTTTCCCTAGAAAAGTTTCTATTTTTCACTGTTTCCTATAAAAAAGTCTCTTCTACACTACATTGTGTCATAGTTATTATTATATCAGTGGCACCCTGTTAATCGTTTATTTACATTTTTAAACAGAAACGTCACTACTATTTTATTGTTATTGTTTACATAGTGAAAAAGTTTTTTGTTTTCCTTGAATTATTTTAAGAATTTTTATAGTTTTCATAACATTTACTGAAAACTCAAAGTAAAATGAATGAAGTTGTACGTGGCGAAGCCTCAGAATCGGAAGATGAAACTATGGACTTAAATCTAAGCCGAAAGGTTAATAAATAAACATGTTCTTCCTATGAAGCGAAATTTTTGCATTTAAATAAAAAAATTCAAATACTTTCAGAGAATATTGGCTGCAGAAGTATCTGGAGAAGCCTCAGAATCTGATGAAGGCTCGTTAAAACAATATTAATAAATGTATTTAATTAATCAACAACATTTATGTATTGCAGATGTTTATGACAAAAGTTTAGATGGCAGCAGCTTGGAGTCTAAAAGTAATGTAGATTCTTTGTATAACAACAATTTATTGCAAAGGAAATTGAGTAAGTTAGATTAAAGAAAATCTTAATTGTTTTATTTTCTTAATAATTCATTATTTTAGTTGAAAATAATTTATCAATTTGGCGCAGTTTAAATATGTTTGTTAAAAGTATTGTTACCTCGTCCTCGAAACAATTGCTAAACACCGATCAATTGCTAATCAAATCTCAAACGTCCATGCAATCTGTTTTGGTCACACTCAGTCAAACACAAATGAATATGAAACAATTGTATCAAAAAACCGATGCCGTATTTACCACAAACTTTATTCCAAATATTAATGTAAAAACGAACAAAACATAATGAGAAAATTGGTTGGATTTAAGAAAAAACAAAAATTTATAAAATTTTTTATATATATATTTAAAATAAATAAACTTTTACAATTACACTTAATCTTCTGTATCCGAATTAGGTACAAAAACTTCGCTATTCGGTGAAGGTTCTTTTGGTATATAGGTGGCCTCAAAACATCGGGCGAATATGGTACGTATTTTTGGTACATGCTCCCGCTGGGGTGACTGGGGTATAGTTTCGTCTTCCTCCTCCTCATTCTCCCTGTCCTCACTCTTATTATCCTGGAACGATAAGTCGGGTGTATCTAATGCCGCAGCTGCCAATAATATATCATTATCATCCAACATATCATGATCTCTTTGTGTCAAATTTCTAGCGGCTTGTATGGAATGTAGGCTGGTATGATTATTATCCCCATCAAAATCAAATAATGTTGTATCATTACTCAGAGTAGTTTCTTCCGATAACCTTTTCTTAGCAGCTGCAGCCGAAGTACTATTAGGATTAGAATTACTATGTTTACGTTTATGGGATTTGGAGGTGTTACTTTTGCGGGTGGTATTATGAGTGGGTTCGCTAACTTCCGTTTCTAGACACTCTTCATAAAAACTAACATCTTCGGGCAATACTGTGGTCATTACTAGGGAACATTCTATATAATCAGTTTTTTTCATCGTTACAAATAAAGGAGAACCTTCTTGACTGAAATTTAAGGTAATATTTTCATTGATAGTTTCAGCAAAAGCCAAAAATGCTCGGAATTCTTTTAGGGAAAAAGTAATGGCAGATTCTTCTTGTATGCTGTATGTTTCAAATTCGCTTGGACTAAAAAGGGAAGAAAGAAAATAATAGTTTAACTGTAGCTTTTTGCCAGTTATGTTCAGATTTGAAGATTCTTCAAAAATCACAACCATCGTCAACATTGCAATATCTATTCGACCAAATCCAGCAAATCTGAGGATTACTTTAACTTTACCTTAATTTTAATTGAGATCGCATAAATTTATCATTGACCCTGGCTCCTTCTATATAGTTTTTGGCCGTTAAACCATTACCCATACTTTCCAAAGTAATCTCCGATTCTGTGGCATTAAAATTACTCGATATATCATTGAATATCTTATAAGAACCCACAATCCTTTGTAAAAGAAACAAAATATTAGAAATTCTTGTTTTAAATTCTTACATTTCAACTTACACATTTATGGCCTCATCCTGGGAAACATTCGTGGTTAAAATCTCATCATCAACCACCGAAATCAATGCATTTTTCATGGTCTCTAAACTACATTTAAATTGTACCTGCAATTTCAATTGATCTGCCAACAAACGTATTTCACAACGTTCCACATGCCGCATATTTTTGAATACCGCCAATATTGCCTTCATACACACTTTACAATAATTCACTCCCGACTCTTCGAGACTGTAGGTTTCGAAAAATATACGCTGGAAACGTATGGTAGCCATGGCAGATTTTGAAGGATTAAAGGTGCGAAATTGTAAACCATTTTCATCGGCTTCCACACATAAATCACTGCCAATCTTGGCTAATGATTGTATGGATTTAGCTATGGCTGGAATTAAAGGGTTTATTTTAGAGATAATTTGTAGATGAAATCAATTTTAAGCTATAGACCCACCTTTAGCATTCATACCCTCCAAGGAACACTTCATATTTTTAAAGTTTTTAGAACTTGGACAAAATGTAAACAAAAATATGTAAATAAAGCAGAAAACAGTGCAGTTTCAATCAACTACCTTTAGGACATGCCGGCGCTTCTGGTTAAGTAATGACGCCGTCAAATTTTTCTATAAATAACTTTGATTCATAAAAACTTTCAAGTTTTGTACAATTATTATAAAATTTGTAAAATTCGCACTATTTTTTAAATAACTTTCTTTTTTAACTAAATTTACTTTTAACCGGCTAACAGTAATTTTATGCTTACGTCGTTATTTTTAATGTCTGCCGCCGGCTTGGTAGTTGTTAGCCACGGCTTTTTGTTTAAAAGAAAATGCTGAAAACAAAAGTTGCCAGATGTTTTAGCCGGCAAAATATTACATAGCTTTATTTATTTAATTAAAATGAAAATAGAAAATATTCCACAATTTTTTAAAAGGCTCTTATTTTTCTCTTTAAATTATTATAAAAAAAAAACCAATTTGCTTTGTAGTAGCAACTCTTTTTGATTTAATGCGTTATTTCACATGGTAACACTCTCCTCACCATTTGACATTTAATGACAACTCTGTTTATTTGCAAAAAAATTGATTGGTTTTCATTATTCACCGGATTTGTTGTGCCACATCAGTTTTTTACATTTAATAGAGAATTTAATAATTAATAGGTAAAAATTATATAAAATTTTTAATTAAAACAATTGTTTTATAAATTTCCTTCAATATTTTGCTAAACAAATAGTGTAGTTAGTTAAATTATGTGTTAAAATTAGAGGAATCTTGTTTGACCACATCAACCTGTAATGAAGCTACACAGCAAAACGAAAAACCTTCGGGGAAGTGCTTCCCTATTAAGCCTATTAACATTATTTGCCTTCTGTAAGGATGCAATAAGCCAGGAAACTGCTACAAGTAAAAGTTTTCCCATTACTACATTGATTAATGCCAAATGGGAACAGACACCGTTGCATTTGGAAATAGCCGAGTATTTGGCGGATGAAAATGCCAATTTATATTGGGATTTCCTAAAGGATATAACTGATTTGGAGACCACGTTAAGTAGTTATGGTAAGTTAATAAAACTTTCTTTATTTTAATTACTTTTGTCAATAAATTTTTCCTTATTCCAGAAACGCCCTCACAAAGTTATAATGCCGCCATAAATGTGGTTCGTAAACGTCTTACAGATCTACAAATGCCACTTATGAAGCTGATAGTATCCATGCATAGTCTAACGCCTCGCATACAAACCCATTTCCAAATTGCCTCAGAAGTTTTGGCTCAGGGTTCTTGTTCCGATTCAGCCACATTTGCCCAAGTCGGCTCAGAGTTAGCCTGCAGTCTGGATGAGTTGCGTCAAAAACTTAAACTAAACAAACAAGATTCATTAGATGCACATGTTGATACCTATGCCTTTGATCATATTTATCCTGGTTCGGAGAATAATACCCGCACTGTGGTGTTATATGGTGATATCGGCTCGAAAACCTTTGCCCAGTATCATTATTTGTTAACAGAAAGAGCTTTATCGGGTGATATAAAATACATAACACGTCATTATTTACCTTCAAAACAGCAAAAGTCACAAAAGCGTGTGCGTCTTTCGGGTTATGGTGTGGAATTACATTTAAAATCCACTGAATACAAATCCCAGGATGATGCCCCCAAACCCTCGGAAGAGTCGACAAATGATAGTTCCGTTGAATCGGGTGTGGAAATGGAGGTGCAAGGTTTTGACTTTAAGGTACTCAAGGAGCGCTTCCCTACTCTCTCACATTCTTTAGATAAACTAAGACAAAGTTTGCAACAGGGTAATGAGGAAATTGCCCAATTAAAAGCCTGGGAGTTTCAAGATTTAGGCCTCCAAGCAGCCCAAGCTATAGCGGAAATAGATGGCGAGGAGGCTCTGAAAATTTTGCAATTCACAGCTCATAATTTTCCCATGCAAGCCAAGGCATTGCTTAGTCATAAGGTTAGTGATCAGCTAAGGAATGAGGTAAAACATAATACCGAATCGTTTGGCAGAAGTTTAAATATTATTCCCCCCGATGGCGCTTTATTTGTTAATGGTTTGTTCTTTGATGCTGATACCATGGATTTGAACTCCTTGGTGGAGACTTTAAGATCGGAAGTACGTGTTTTGGAAAGTCTACACAATAGTCAAGTGAAGGGCTCTTTAGCCTCTTCTCTCTTAGCTTTAGATTTTGCTGGTTCGGGTTCCAAAGAATTTGCCATAGATATAAGAGATTCCTCCATATTATGGATTAATGATATAGAAACTGATCCTCAGTACCGGCGCTGGCCTTCAAGTGTTATGGATCTATTGAGACCCACTTTTCCGGGAATGTTAAGGAATATACGCAAAAATGTTTTCAATTTAGTGTTGGTGGTCGATCCCCTCAAACCTACAAGTCGCAGTCTTATTAAGCTGGCGGAAAGTTTTGTGGTACACTCGGCTCCTGTCAGATTAGGTTTGGTGTTCGATGCCTCGAAATCCTCCGAAGATACCAAAGAGGATTATATGGCCTTGGTATGTGCCTTTAACTATGTTACCCAGAAAAAAGATGCACGTTCAGCCTTAGGTTTTCTAACCGATGTCTTTACCGCCGTGGACTCCAAGCAGGAAATCACACGTAAACATATAAAAATGCAACTTAAGAAAACTTTTGATAAATTGTCCAGCTCCGCAGTAGATGATATATTAGATGAAGATTCAGATTTTGATTATGGCCGTCAATTGGCTTTGGAATTTGTAGAACGTTTGGGCTTTTCCGACTCCCCACAGGCATTACTGAATGGAGTACCCATGCAACAGAATATTTTAAGTTCGGATAGTGATTTTGAAGAGGCCATATTCTCCGAAATCATACAACAAACCACCACTTTGCAGAAAGCAGTTTATAAAGGAGATTTAACGGATTCAGATAATCTATTGGATTATCTAATGAACCAGCCACATGTTATGCCTCGCCTCAATCAACGTATTTTGGGTAATAATGAAAATGCCAAATTTTTGGATTTAACGGGACAACCTCATAAAGATCTCAATAATGTTAAGGCTTTGGCTCAACTCTCAAATCGTGATATGACTGCTACTCTTCTCAACAACATCAAATACTTTGAGGGTAAACATTCTTATGAAACTATAGGTGAGGCCAAACTGCATTTCCTAACCATTTGGCTATTTGCCAATGCAGAATCCAAGGAAGGCAAAGAACTACTCCACAATGCCTTGAAATATGTTAAAGCCGGCTCCAGTGTGCGCATTGCCTTTATACCCAATGTTGAGGGTAATGATTTGTCTAGAAAGAATAATTTGAATCGTTTAGTTTGGGCCGCTCAGCAAGTGCTTAAACCTCAACAGGCCACCGATGTGGTATTGAAATGGTTGAAACAATCCTCTGATAAATGGGAAATACCAGCACAAGTCAACGATTTCTTGGCCTCCACCGAACTACACATGAAAATCTTAAGAGTTTATGCCCAAAGAGTACTAAATCTTAAAGCTAATGAACGTTTGGTTATAGGTAATGGTAAAATTATAGGACCTATTGGCAGCAAAGAACAATTTGGCATAGAGGACTTTGGTTTAATAGATCGTTTCAATGCCATACAATATGGCGATAAATTGCGCAAAGTCTTAAAACAAAAATCTGTGGATATAGAAGAATCAGAGTTTGATAGTGATACTTTATTAAAACTCTACGCCTGCCTTATACCCAGACAGTCTAAGACCAGATTTAAGATACCCGATGATGTTAAGGAGGCTCACTCGGTTGTCAAGCTAAAACCCAAACACGAAGACTTGCCACATTTCGAAATTAATGCCGTGGTAGATCCAGCCTCTAGAAGTGCCCAGAAATTGGCACCCATTTTAATACTCTTGCGTAATACGGTAAACTGTAATATGAAAGTTTATTTGACTCCTGTCAACCAGCATAGTGATATGCCCGTTAAGAATTTCTATCGTTATGTAGTGGAATCCGAAATACAGTTCTTGCCTAATGGTGAATTAGCTGAAGGACCCATAGCTAAGTTTACCGGTGTGCCGGCCAATCCCTTGTTAACACAAAATGTACAGGTACCCGAAAATTGGTTGGTGGAAGCTGTACGCTCGGTTTATGATTTGGATAATATAAAATTGAGTGAAATAGGAGGTCCCGTGCACAGTGAATTTGAATTGGAATATTTGCTATTGGAAGGACACTGTTTTGATGCCTCCACCGGTGCTCCACCCAGAGGTTTACAAGTTACTTTGGGTACTCAAGACAACCCCACCATGGTCGATACCATTGTTATGGCAAATTTGGGCTACTTCCAATTAAAAGCCAATCCTGGCGTATGGACTTTACGTTTGAGAGAAGGTAAATCTGCTGATATTTACGATATAACCTTTGCCGAAGGACCCAATACTTTACATCAAGAGGGTAATACCCAGGTGGTGATAAGCTCCTTAAGATCGCATGTCATCAAGCTGAGAGTTACCAAAAAGCCCGGCATGCAGCATGCTGATCTTTTGGGCGATGAGGACAATCAGCAACAGAGTGGTATATGGAATTCTATAGCCAGCTCTTTTGGTGGCGGTAGCAGCCATGAAGGAGAACCCGAAACTATTAATATATTCTCCTTAGCCTCAGGTCATCTTTACGAACGACTTTTACGTTTAATGATGTTGTCTGTTATGAAAAATACTAAATCTCCCGTCAAGTTTTGGTTTTTGAAAAATTACCTCTCACCCCAATTCACCGACTTCTTGCCACACATGGCCAAAGAATATGGTTTTCAATATGAGTTGGTACAATACAAATGGCCACGTTGGCTGCATCAACAAACCGAAAAACAACGCACTATATGGGGTTACAAAATCCTCTTCCTAGATGTATTATTCCCCCTCAATGTCCGTAAAATCATATTCGTAGATGCTGATGCCATAGTAAGAGCTGATCTGAAAGAATTATATGACATGGATTTGGGTGGTGCACCCTATGCCTATACCCCGTTCTGTGATTCACGCAAAGAAATGGAAGGTTTTCGTTTTTGGAAACAAGGCTATTGGAAATCACATCTAATGGGTAGACGTTATCACATTTCCGCCTTGTATGTGGTAGATCTTAAACGTTTCCGCAAAATAGCCGCCGGTGATAGATTAAGAGGACAATATCAGGCTCTTAGTCAAGATCCCAATAGTTTATCGAATTTAGATCAAGATTTACCCAATAATATGATACACCAAGTAGCCATTAAATCATTGCCCGATGAATGGCTATGGTGTCAGACATGGTGCAGTGATAATGCCTTTAAAACTGCCAAAGTCATTGATTTGTGTAATAATCCCATGACCAAAGAAGCTAAACTAACGGCAGCTCAGCGTATAGTGCCGGAATGGAAAGATTATGATGCCGAAATCAAAGCACTAATGGCGCGTATAGAGGATCATGAGAATGCCGATCATAATGAACAAATTGTAGGTGAACATAACTTAACGCCTAACGCAGACGAATCACCTAAACACAGTGAACTGTGATTTAGTTTTTCTACTAATTCTTAAACTTGACTTAAAAAAAAAGTAATTAAAAAAACATTTTGTGGCATCCACTATTTAATTAATTTATTTTTAAACATCCATCCATACCTTTCTTAAAAATTTCCTTTTTCCTGGTTTAAAAATATAGTCTTTTTTTATTATTTTAATAAAATTGGATGTTTTAATGTGTATTATTGTGAGTCCTTAACATTTTGAAACAAAATGTATTAAATGTTTAAAGGACTAAAATTTAACATTCCTTAAATTAAACTTTATTTTTTTTGGTTAAAGTATTTGGCGTTAATTGAAAGAATTTATTTAAATTTAACTTAGTAATAATTAATAAAAACTTTGCCATTAAATCAATAATGGAGAAAAATGTTTTATTTGAAACCTAGAAAAAATCCTTTTTTTAATTAAAAAAAAAATTTAAAAGATTTTAGCTTAACAAGGACAAGATTGCGTTTTAAAAGTATAAAAATATTTATTAAATTTTATTTAGTTCTTTTTTCACAAATTAATAACCAAACTATAATTTAATAACTATAACATAATTAATACAAAAAAAACTTATACTTAAAAACAAATTTAACTTTGCAAAACAACCACTTGATCGGTGACGCGTGTTATTAAAGGATCCAATTCACTGCGTATTAGTTTCGAGCCCCACAATTCTTCTAAAGTATATTCAGCCTTCGCGTTAGCGCTGCCTAAAGTAAAGAAAATTTCTTATTCCAAGGGAATATTTGCTAAGGAACACTCATCCGAAAGAATAATTTTCTAATGAAAACTCTTTTCCAGGGCATAATTAGACAAATTTCTATAGGAAGTGTCTTAATAGACACTTAGAAGTGTGTTTTAAAAAAGTTTTCTTAGAAAAGTATCTTCTAAAAACAGTTTCATGAGGAAAAGTGTCTTTCTTATACAGTTTCTTCTCTAGACAATTTTCAATAGAAAAGTGTCTTCTTTAGATAATATTCTATAGACAAGTGTCTTCTGTAGAAAATATTCTGAAGAAAATAGTCTTCTTTAGATAATTTTCTATAGAAAAGTATCATATTTAGATAATTTTCCATTGAAAAGTGTGTTCTTTATGCAATTTTCTACAGAAAAGCGTATTTTATAGACAATTTTCTATGAAAAAGTGCTTTCCATAGAAAATTTTCTATAGAAAAGTGCTTTCTATAGACAAATTTGTATAGAAAATTGCCTTCCTTAGACAATTTTTATAGAGGAGTGTCTTCTTTATATAATTTTCTATATAAAAGTATTTTCTTTAGATATTATTCTATAGAAAAGAGCCTTCTTCAGTCAATTTTCTATAGAAATTTCTAAAGAAAACTCTTTTCCAGGGCATAATTAGACAAATTTCTATAGGAAGTGTCTTAATAGACACTAAGAAGTGTGTTTTAGAAAGTTTTCTTAGAAAAGTATTTTCTAAAAACAGTTTCATGAGGAAAAGTGTCTTTCTTATACAGTTTTTTCTCTAGACAATTTTCAATAGAAAAGTGTCTTCTTTAGATAATATTCTATAGACAAGTGTCTTCTGTAGACAATATTCTGAAGAAAATAGTCTTCTTTAGATAATTTTCCATTGAAAAGTGTGTTCTTTATGCAATTTTCTACAGAAAAGCGTATTTTATAGACAATTTTCTATAAAAAAGTGCTTTCCATAGACAATTTTCTATAGAAAAGTGCTTTCTATAGACAAATTTGTATAGAAAATTGCCTTCCTTAGACAATTTTTATAGAGGAGTGTCTTCTTTATATAATTTTCTATATAAAAGTGTTTTCTTTAGATAATATTCTAAAGAAAAGAGCCTTCTTCAGTCAAGTGTCTTATTTAGAAAAATTTCTATAGAAAAGTGTCTTCTTTAAACAATTTCCATAGAAATTTAAATAATTTAAAATATTTTTCAATTTTTCTTTACTACAACTTACCCTCTGCCTCTACGGATAAAGTAAGGGTCAAAAATATAACCACATCTTTAGCAATAGGACTATGAGTATCGCATATAGTATGCAAAGCTCTAGCAGCTTCGGCTGGTATCTAAAATATTTCATAGTTATAAATCTCCAACTATATCGTTTACAAAGTAACACCTACCTCATTGAGATTAGCTATCAATATAACATTACCCTCTTTAATTTTTGCCTTATATTTCTGAATGGCAAAACCATAATCATCTTCAACTCCGGGAGCAGATATAAAATCATTACTTTCCATTTCAATGGGCAGCATTTGTTTACCAAAACAACCCGACGAATGCCGAGCTATATCTTTTATTAAACGGAAAACATTTGGACCACCATGATGAGCAAATAAATATACTGCTGGCTGCTCAGTTCTTCTATTTAAAATCGTTTCTATGCCCACTGATAAAGTGCGCCATATACGAGGATTTTCTTGGGTATATTGTTTTTGCAACGCATCAAAGGAACAATTTCTGGGTTTTGTTTCTCTTGGTACAAAATACCAACTCGCCAGTAATAGTGTAAAACTTATGAGAAGTATATGGAAAGGGGAAAACCTATTCTGAACATTTTCCAAAGGCACAGTTGCTCTTTCGGTTCCGTATTGTGGAGATCTGGGAGAACTATCCACCGGTTGGGGTTTTGGCCTTTGAGGTGTACGTGGCACACTGCGTGATACATTAAAATCCGGTCTTAATTTATAACCCTTACTATTGTATATGGTTTCATTTTCGAATCCCTCTAGATCAGAACCACCCGATTCGGTGGTAATTTGTTCTTGACTACTATGCAAGATCGACGGCGACGAATCATTTCCTTCATCAATAACTTCCTCACGTTGGGATGTTTGTGAGTCACGCCTATCATGTATAGAAGGGCGGGCTTTGGGTATATTTTCCGCCATAATAGCAGCCTTTGAATTGAAATTAATCTATAAAAAATTGTATTAGTGGGAGAATTTTTGCAATGAATTTGAAATGCAATCTATTGTTTACGTTCGCTACAATGTAGCCAACTTTTTAATTTAACAAAAGCACTTGAATTAAAATAAACTTTACTAAATTACTTTCTTTTAATATATAATAATATAACCATGGTAAAATAACTATATACTATACTATATAACTATAAATAAGTTTTAAATTACGAAAAAAATAACTCAAATTATTTAAATAATTTAAAATTCAAAAACATAAAAAATATATTTCCAAAAAGCTTTATAAAGTTTGCCGCAAAAAAAAAAAAATAAATGTAGCAATTTAAGTCATAAATCTGGCAGCATGATTTTATGTTGATATTAAAATTGTAAATATGGCAGCCCGATCTTGTTTTGCTATTGCCAACAGTGATGTCAAATTAATAATTTAAAGAGAAAATTACTCATTTTCTACAAAAATATTTCCAACTTCCAGAATGGTTAATAAAAAACATTAAATATAACTATCTAAACCTTTCTATATATGATTCTTAATATAGGACTCTTTTATAGAAAACTGTTTAAATAGGACAAAAAGTTTCCTGTGTAGACGGGCACTTACACAACGCCTAATACACGTATTTTGACAGCATTTAACAAAATAGGTTGATGTCGCTTTATTCCAGAAATTGCAAACACATTATGAAAACACAAAAAACTATTTTCAAAACAACAGTCGATTTATAGGACCCTACAAGATAGTCGATTTTTCGACGAGTTTATTTAAGAACTTTTTTCATCATTTACTTTACTGACGTTATTGAGTCTTTTGGAAAAAAACTTTAAATAGGGCACACTAATCACTACTACTGCTAAAAATACAACCGTGTGTGTAAACAAACTGCAGCCAACTTCACATATCCGTTTAGAATTTTTTCTTCTTTTCACACGTGTCGATGCATTTCGTTCATTTTACAATCAACTAGCGACAGCAATGGTTTATTTAGGAGAATTACAAAGTTTAAAAAAGAATTTTACATCAAATATTGTAATTAACAAAAGGTAATTATAAACAAAAAGAATTTATCAATATTTAAGAAGAAAAATAGAAGTAAATTATAAATTGATGAATGTTCAAGAGCTGAATTATTAAAAAAATGGAGTATTTATTAATTCTATTAGTAAATACAAAGTTTTTCTAAACTTATTTGAGGATAGATAAGAACGGCCAACTGAGTTTTAATTAAATTTATAAAAGATTTTACGATTTTAAAGACAATTTTTAACGGAAGACTTTTTCTTTTACAATTGCAGTTGAATGGAGAAAATGAAGTGAAAAATAGCTTAAAGATGTGATGGGGGAAACACTTGAAAATTGAGGTTAGTATTGTTGGTATTTAAAAGAAAATGTGCTTTTTATGTATAGGGTGATGATTTATCCTAAATTCAGGATCCCTCTACTGAGACGAACCCAATTTATAAAAACCATGCTGTCTCTTAAATTAACTGATATTTTTGTTCAAAATTTCTTAAAGAATTTATTTAGTTTTTAATGGAATTTTAGTTAAAAGATTTCATTTTTCTATTTTAGTTATCATTGAAGACAATGAGAGGAATTTTTCATTCAGCTGTGGGGATTTTAAAGGTGAGTTTGTATTTTATATAACACTGTTAACAAATATTTTACGAAAAACCATATTTTGTTTAAATATAACAAACATTTGTTATAACTTGTTTAAATGCTTACTTAATTGAGTATTGTATGGTTTTCGTAAGCTTGTAATGATACATTTTACATGATGATAACTTTAATCTGAATCAAAATCTGCTGATTCCAAATTCAAATTAAACCAAAAGGATTCTGAAAATCCCATTTAATACTTTAACTAGAAAAAATTGTTGAAATTGTTTACTAATTGAATATTTCTTTTTATTTTTTAGAGTTGAAACAGCTTAAAAATCGTGTTGGAAAGATGGTTAGACAAAAGCCAATGGGTTTTAAATTTGCTGCCGAAAGAAGGTTAGTATTTCTTAAGTTATCTCCTATAACACGTGTTTATTTTGTTGATGATTTATCCTTAAATCAGGATCCCTCTTCTGAGACGAACCCAATTTAAAAAACCATGCTGTTAAAATTTTTACTGATATTTTCAATTAAAAATTTATAGATTTTAAAAACAAAAGTAACATTATTAACCAAGTTTTTTATTTATATTTTCAGCTGTTAAACCATGAAATCCTTAAAGAAAATTGGCCTTTTTTAACAAAAGGTTAGTATTTGTTTATACAAAAAAGTTACATTTCTAAATCCTAGCCTGATGATATGTTTAATCTGAAAGAAATCTATGCTGATTACTCATCAAAAATTAAACCAAAAGGATTCTGAAATTTTTAAACATTATTTTTTTTTCTAATTACTTTTTAAATATCCTGATTTAACCCTTAATTCTCTTTAAATATTACAGCTAATTTTCAAAATATTGTTAATCCGGCCAGAGCTGTACCAATTGCTAGTAATACGCTTAAAGGTACGTTTTTGAAAATGAAATTAAATCCATTTTGTTCAAGTTATTTCCATGATGTTTCATTAATAGTATAGTTCATTTGAAGAAAACCATGTAACTAATTTTTTAACTGATAGAAATAAATTACTTTTCGTTTTGTAACAAAACTTGTTTGAAATTGGCTTACAGAGATTAATTATTTTTTTCATTTTGTTATTTACAGATTGATGTCTGCTTCAAAACCAATGGAAATGGCGCATATTTAATAAAGAAATAAATGAAATAGTTTAACATTTTAAAACAAACGTAACAAATCTTTTATTTATAAAAAATCGTATCAATGTGTAGCTGTGCAGAGATTGATTTCTTTGTAGCTTGGGGGGGAATTTTCGATTTAAAGGAAAACTTCAGTGAGGAGACACTTCTTGGTTGGAATAAACAATAGCTATTTGATTTTCTTTAAACACGTTCCAAAAGCTTCATTTTCAATCAAAATATGGATGCTTCGAATTGAAATGTCCAAATTTATTTCATTTACATTCACATGAAAAGTATTCGGATTTGTATATTTTTTATAATGTACACATTTTCAAATGCGACTTAAAACATGCTTTAATTATAGGTTTAACATTATCAACATTTCTTTATTATTAAATAGAACGGTAACTTTTAGCCAGTTTGCTTTATCACAGAAATTAACACAACAAACAATTCGTATTGGCAACGCTAAACGCTGTCATGCTATTGCAGTGTTGTTAACCTTTTCCATATAAAAAAACGCTAAATATTTAATAAAAATAGCTAAAGAGGGTGATATATCGCCAAATTAGCTGCTGGGACGTCATTTTTGTTATTGTTTGTTTTTCAGTTTGTGCGCCAAAACCAGTAGTTTGTTAAAATTTGTATGCGAAAGTGATTTTTTTTGAAAAAGTGTGTTATATATTTAATAAATTTGATTATAAAAAGTGATTTTTATTTAAGGCCATGAGTTTTTAAGAAAAGTTCATTAATGATACATAGAAATACTTAAAAATAAAATATAATTTGAGTTTTCAATAAAATATTGCATTAGTTCAAAAGAGGCTCCCTGCGCTAGAGATGCAACAGCATTTTAATATTCTACAACAATTTCTGCGTATCCAATGTTAAACAAAAGTATGGGTAAGTTTTTATCACAGTTTGACTTGCTTTTTTAGTTTAAGTTCTAATTGGAATGTATAATCTAATGTGCATAACTACAGTGCTAGGTGGGATCCTAACTCCAATTAGGAAGGTTAAAAATTTGCATTTGAAAACATAAGAATTGAATAGGTATTACTAAGTTTTATTAATACAAATCAGGAAGAAATAAAAGTGCCCTTTATCACCCACCTTTGTATAAGCCGCAACAAGTCGTGAACAATTTCTGATATTTAAGGAGCGTATTTGTTGAAAAGCTTGTTCTGTCTCATATTAGTACATTCAAGAACGGCAGAACATTCTCATTAAGGTGATAGGCATATTAAAGAGGCCAGCATGCTGGCAAAGTGTTCTGGAGCTAGTCGATTGAATGTGTATAGACGATTATTCTATAGTCCAGACTATAGATTGTTCTATACTCCAGACTATAGACTGTTCTATAGTCCAGAATATAGACTCTTCTATAGTCCAGATTATAGACTATTCTATAGTCCAGACTATAGACTATTCTATAGTCCAGACTATAGACTATTCTATAGTCCAGACTATAGGCTATTCTATAGTCCAGACTATAGACTATTCTATAGTCCAGACTATAGACTATTCTATAGTCCAGACTATAGACTATTCTATAGTCCAGACTATAGACTATTCTATAGTCCAGACTACAGACTATTCTATAGTCCAGACTATAGACTATTCTATAGTCCAGACTATAGACTATTCTATAGTCCAGACTATAGACTATTCTATAGTCCAGACTATAGACTATTCTATAGTCCAGACTATAGACTCTTCTATAGTCCAGACTATAGACTCTTCTATAGTCCACACTATAGACTCTTCTATAGTCCAGAATATAGACTCCTCTATAGTCCAGACTATAGGCTCTTCTATAGTCCGGACTATAGACTCTTCTATAGTCCAGACTATAGACTCTTCTATAGTCCAGACTATAGACTCTTCTATAGTCCAGACTATAGACTCTTCTATAGTCCAGACTATAGACTCTTCAATAGTCCAGAATATAGACTCTTCTATAGTCCAGACTATAGGCTCTTCTATAGTCCAGACTATAGACTCTTCTATAGTCCAGACTATAGACTCTTCTATAGTCCAGACTATAGACTCTTCTATAGTCCAGTCTATAGACTCTTCTATAGTCCAGACTATAGACTCTTCAATAGTCCAGAATATAGACTCGTCTATAGTCCAGACTATAGGCTCTTCTATAGTCCAGACTATAGACTCTTCTATAGACTGTTCGATAGTCCAGACTATAGACTGTGATATAGTCCAGACTATAGACTGTTCGATAGTCCAGACTATAGACTGTTCTATAGTCCAGACTATAGACTGTGCTATAGTCCAGACTATAGACTGTGCTATAGTCCAGACTATAGACTGTTCTATAGTCCAGACTATAGACTGTGCTATAGTCCAGACTATAGACTGTTCTATAGTCCAGTCTATAGACTGTGCTATAGTCCAGACTATAGACTGTTCTATAGTCCAGACTATAGACTCTTCTATAGTCCAGACTATAGACTCTTCTATAGTCCAGACTATAGACTCTTCTATAGTCCGGACTATAGACTCTTCTATAGTCCAGACTATAGACTCTTCTATAGTCCAGACTATAGACTCTTCTATAGCCCAGACTATAGACTCTTCTATAGTCCAGACTATAGACTCTTCAATAGTCCAAAATATAAACTCTTCTATAGTCCAGACTATAGGCTCTTCTATAGTCCAGACTATAGACTCTTCTATAGTCCAGACTATAGACTCTTCTATAGTCCAGACTATAGACTCTTCTATAGTCCAGACTATAGACTCTTCTATAGTCCAGACTATAGACTCTTCTATAGTCCAGACTATAGACTCTTCTATAGTCCAGACTATAGACTCTTTTATAGTCCAGACTATAGACTCTTCTATAGACTGTTCGATAGTCCAGACTATAGACTGTTCGATAGTCCAGACTATAGACTGTTCGATAGTCCAGACTATAGACTGTTCTATAGTCCAGACTATAGACTGTGCTATAGTCCAGACTATAGACTGTTCTATAGTCCAGACTATAGACTGTGATATAGTCCAGACTATAGACTGTTCTATAGTCCAGACTATAGACTGTGCTATAGTCCAGACTATAGACTGTGCTATAGTCCAGACTATAGACCATACTACTTTCAATCGAAAAACTCAACTTCTCCGAATTGATGCTTCAGAAACGTCCAAATTTATTACATTTATGTACATTAACACTAAAGAACTATTTGGATATGTATATTTTTTTTTATCATAATATACACGTTTTTAAAATTTTTCAAATAAGCCTTAAAATATGCTTTAATTTTAGGTTTTACATAAACTTTTTTTGCTTTGTTATTATCATCTCTAAAATAGAACGTTAGTTTTGCTTATCACAGTTAGTTAGTTTTGCTTATCACAGACATTAACCTTAAAAAATCACAACAATTGGTATTGGCAACGCTAAACACTGACATGCTATTGCAGTGTTGTAAACTTTGTCCCCCCTCAAAAGAACGTTAAATATGTAATAAAAATTGCTAAAACATGCGATATATCGCCAAATTAGCTGCTGGAACGTCACCTTTGTTGTTATTTTTTCTATTTGTGCGCCAAAACTAGTGGTTTGTTGAAATTTGTGTGCGAAAGTGTTTTTTTTTTTGCAAAAGTGTTTCATATGTTGGCTAAATTTGTTTTTAAAAAGTGGTTATTTATTTAAAGTCATAAATTTTTTAAAAAAGTACATTGAATACAATATAATATAAGTTTTCAATAAAACATAACATTAGTTAAAAAGTGGCGGTGCTATTGCTGCAATGAATTTTATTTCCCTGATGAAACTAATAAAGTCCCTGCGCTAGGGATGCAACAGCATTTTAATGTTCCACAACAATTTAATGTTGAACAAAAGTATGGGTAAGTTTTTATCACAGTTTGACCTGCTTTTCTTAGTTTAAGTTCTAATTGGAACTTCTAATCTAATGCACATAACTACAGTGCTAGGTGAAATTCTAACTCTAATCAGAAAGGTAACAAAAATGTTGCATTTGAAAACATAGGAAAAGAATCTAACTACTTTTTATTAAGCAAATCAAGAACAAATCAAAGTGCCCTTTATTTAAAAGAATAAAAATGAGAAAAATTTCAGTTTTTCCAATTTTCTAGTAAAAATTTGGTTTTTTGGTAAAATACCATTTTTTGGTGAAAATTAGATTTGTTACGTTTTTTGTTCCCCGCTACATTCACTTGAAATCGCTCAAGAAAAAAACACTGAAATTACCACCACTGCTTTTCAACCCCCTGTCAACTTAGAAAGAAGAAAAAAATAATAAAAATAGAAAATTATATATTTTGCTGCTGCCACAACCAACCTGCCATAAACTTAGCCACTCCAAGAGATAAAAAGAAATATAAATAAAAATTCCTTTTAAAAATTAACTAAAAGAAAGTAAAACACACCAAAATGGTCATTAAATTTGATACACAAAAAACCAAACATCAACTCTTCCATCTATCCATCAGTTTGGGTGTAATATTGATCTGTATGACCTATATGCAGTATCGCAGAAACTGGACGCACCTAGGAAGTTTTTGGGATTCACTCATTATACCCATAGTCTTTACCGGCGAAATGCTAAAGGTTATACTCTGCTGCTATTATGGCCGTCACGATGATCCTTTGCTGACGCAAAAGCAAAAACAAAAAAAGGCTGCCTATTTTACGCCCAAAGATTTGGCTAGCGGTTTGCTGTTGCAATTTTTGTGTACACTATTATATGGGTTTGTGTGTATAATTTTGGGAGCGCCTGTTCTGCAGAATTATGAACAAACATTTGTACTGTCATTGCTGCTGACACTGTTGTCTGTCTCACCTACGGTATTTCTGTTGGGCGGTGGTGGTGCTTTGCAGGTGTGCTTCTGTGAAAAACCTGATTTTCTAACAAAAAGTGAAGAGACTGCTTTGCATTTGTTTAAGTATAATGCCATTGGTGGTATTTTGGGTGCTTGGGCTGGTTCGATTGTTTCTCCACTGGATTGGGATCGTGAATGGCAAGCTTATCCCATACCCAATGTTGTGGGTGCCTTATTGGGCAGTGCTTTGGCTAATATATATGGCTGCTCTTGTGTTTTGTATGCTACTGGTAAAGCGTATATGAATAAAAAACGTTCTTAAAATGTTGCCGAATGAGAAGTTGTGTTTTTTTATCTATCCATTTTTTTTTATTAATCTAGTCACATTATTCAAAAATTCTTAAATCTTTACATATACACCAAAGAAAGAAAAAACTTTAATAAAACAAAATTTGAAGAAAAAAATAAAAAAGTTATTTGAAATTATCATGATATAATACCATATCAGACTATAGCTTGTTCTATAGTCGAGGCTATAGACTGTTCTATAGTCCTGACTATAGACTGCTAAATTCCAGACTATAGACTGTGCTATAGTCCAGACTATAGACTGTGCTATAGTCCAGACTATAGACTGTGCTATAGTCCAGACTATAGACTGTGCTACAGTCCAGACTATAGACTGTGCTATAGTCCAGACTATAGACTGCGCTATAGTCCAGACTATAGACTGTGCTATAGTCCAGACTATAGACTGTGCTATAGTCCAGACTATAGACTGTTCTATAGTCCATACTATAGATGTTCTATAGTCCATACTATAGATGTTCTTTAGTCCAGACTATAGATGTTCTATAGTCCAGACTACAGACTGTTCTATAGTCCAGACTATAGACTGTTCAATAGTCCAGACTATAGACTGTTCTATATTTCACATTATAGACTAATCCCTACTATTATAGATGTTCTATAGTCCATACTATAGATGTTCTTTAGTCCAGACTACAGATGTTCTATAGTCCAGACTACAGACTGTTCTATAGTCCACACTATAGACTGTTCTATAGTCCACACTATAGACTGTTCTATAGTCC